TTGGGGGGGGGGGGGAAGCCCCCCCCCCCCCCCGCTCGCGACGGCCCTGCTGACAAGAGCCCGAATATCGGTTTCTCGAATTCGTAGCTGTGTCGATTGAGATATTTATAGAGAGCTTATTAAAGCTTCGCGTAAAAAGTACGGCAAACGGAAAGGCCGAATTTTCTTGGCATAATTTTCGTTCGATTTCTGCGTGACATATTTTCTTTCATATGACACAGGAATACTTAAGCATTCTAGTTTTAAAATAACACGCCTATTTTAGTAAAAATAATAATTCAGATTATTTATGGACTAGTTTTCACTATCAATATCCTTTGTAAAAAGTGTGCTTTCTTAGATGAAATAGCCCTTACACTAGTCGCTGAAAATCAAACCAGCTGATCTTGTGGGACTGGTCAAATCGTTCCCTGCAACCATGCTATTTTTGCAACATTTTCCCACCAAATACTGGGGCAGGATATTACACTAGTCCCTGAAAATCAAACCAGCTGATCATATGGGACTGGTCAAATCGATCCTTGCAACCATGCTGTTTTGCAACATTTTTCCCCACCAATTACTGGGGCAGGATATCCCCCCCCCCAGTTTGTTAGTGCAGGTATTTATTTTGTTCATAATAGCCTTGCAGGAAATTTTTTTCAAAATCATCCCCCCCCTCTCAAAAGTTAAACGGTCATCTCCTTGCAGATACAGATATTGTACAGTACGCTCCCTATCAAGGTTTTTCAGTGACTGGTTACATTAGAACCGGAACTGGCGTGAAGCAGACCGAGGTAGACTGTGAGCGTAATTACAGATGGCGCTTTAAGCAGCCGGTATCAGTCCGTACCTCATTAATGATCTGCCCCTGACCTGCCCGTTGACTTAACCCACCCTTGTCAACTTTCCGCCCTGTGGTGGGAAACCGGAGTATCCCGAGAAAACTCACGACTTTCGGCAGAGCGTTGACTTTTACCCTTTTATGTGAAATAACGGCCGGTCAACGGACAATGTCTGGTCAGAATGTGGAGTTGTCCGGTCAAATTCTTACCTTGCCGGTCATTTTGACCGGTCACTTTCGGTAAAAGAACAAACAGGGACGTAGGAAGCTTATAAAAGTTGGGGGGGGGCAGGCTTTGAGGTTCACTTTCCGAATAAAAAAGGGCATCTGAATATCTTTGCTCGGAAAAGTTGGCGCCGGGGGGGGGAGGGGGGATGTCTGAAAAATTTTTTCCGGTCATACCAAAAAATATTTCCGGATATACCACATTCTTTCCAAAATATGAAAAAAATTTTCCGGATAT